TGAACCGCTTCCTGAAGGCCCAACACTGAACCAGTCGTTGGGTTAGACTGAAATGGCTCCTGACTCCATGCGCTGTGCTAACCAGACACCAGCTTATCCCACAGACCAGCCTTGTCTGTTCACCCACCTACCTGAGGAGGGGAAGAGGAGTTCACATTGTCTTTTGGTGGACTCAAGGAAGGAGCGTCTCCCACAACATTATGGGGCTGACAGTGTTTCCTGAAAAACAGAATTGATGGTGGTTTAGGTCCTGTACTTGAGGGTCAAGTAGATCCAGTGGCATTGACGACTCCCCTCTAGCACGACAGGATCATCTGGAAGTTATTCAATAAACTTGCACCTGTTGTAAAGTTAATGTCTGATAACCCCATGCAATTGCCCTGGCGGTCTAGTGGCCAAAGCAGTTGCAGTGCCAAGAGCCAGTTTAGTATTCCAACTCCCAAGAAATTTAGTAGCAGCAGTAACTAGTCTGGGAGAAAGCCCTCCTTACCACAGGCAAAGCGGCTACACTGCCCTTAGAGAAAAGGCGACCCCCAGAAGATTCCAACCTCTTCAAAAAGAAGCTAAATTCAAGATCTACAAATCGTTGCCCACTCAATATTTGGGTGCCCTCAATATACCCCCAGAAGATTCCAACCTCTTCAAAGAGAAGCTAAATTCAAGACCTACAAATCGTTGCCCACTCAAATATTGAGGGCACCAAAATATTGAAAGGGGCCTCCCTCTTTCCCATCATTTGCATATGCATTAAGAGCAGAAGAACAGGCCTGTACAGTACTGCCCAAGGTTGTGTCAACAGAGAAGGGAGTTCCCCGCCTGATTTCCTGTGGAGGAGGTACAGGTGAAACCTCTCTACTCCGACACTCTCTGGTCTGCCAAGATCCAGGGTCTGTCATGATTTGTTAGCTGAATGTCCACTTCGAATGGGTGTGGCCAAGTTTCCTGCCGTCCCATACAGTTTGTTTACAGCCACCAACCCTGGCTCTCAGGGTTCTGTGCTGTAATTTAGCTCTAATTTACCCCTAAATAATATTTTCTCAGAGCCCAGTAAGCAGTGGAAGTGTTGGTAATGCTGCTAGACAATATTTACTTCCCATAGTCTTGCAAATTCTCTGGTTCATCACCAGGCAGGTCCTGAGGGTGAGGGACTAGACAGGTTCAATCTGTAGGTTATTTTCCATACACTTAACCCAGCGGCCTTTTTTCCTTGATGCCTAGACCTAAATAGAATAGAATTATTTTCTGCAGTAGCACTAACAATTATTCCTGACATGTCAGATAAAACATTAAAATAAAGCCAGACGACTGTCCTGGATGGCCACGGGGTAGTCTAGTCAGTGCTTAATGGCTGATGGATGCCTTTCAGTCATCAGAATTACCAACGACCACCCTACCTTCAGTGGATGCCTTATCCTGCCCACCTTCAGCCTGGCACCAGCTCCAGCCCTGGCAAGCTTGAGGTGGGTGCCCAACAGCTCCCAGGACTTGAACCTATCATCCCGGTCTCCAGAGACCGAAGCCTGGTAGTGAGTGCCCATCTCTTCCCCAGCCTGGCACAACTCAAACCCACCACCCAGGACTCCAGAGGCCAGTGCATTATCTGTGGCACCACTGGAGGACCCAGCTCACCACCCTTTCAACAGCAGATGTCTTACCCTGCCCACCTTCAGCAGCCCACTGAGTTTTCAATTGTTTCAGTCTTGTTGGGTAACGGTCCTCTTACAAAAAGTTTTCAATTGTTTCAGTCTTGTTGGGTAACGATCCCTCTTAATTAAGCAAAGGGATCTTCTTACTGGGTCCCTGCTTTGAAAGTAAGTCCAGATGTTAAATGGAGTAAATATCCCCCCTTTAGGAAGGTCACAGGGTGGAACCACTGGGGTGCTGCCGAGGGGGAGAAGAGAGGCACCTCTGGCAAGAACCTCATGGTCTCTCTTATGCACCATGAACATTTAAGGCTCAGTAATAAAAATGCTTTCACCTCCCAGATTGCTCTACATGCTGCACTTACAGCGTTGTCTCAGATAAAAAGGCAACCTCTTCTATCAAAACAATATAGTTCATTCTGACTGCTAAATCCATTTGCCTTCTTTTAAGTCTCAATCTCATTTTTCTAAGCAGTTCCATAGCTCTGAGTTAGCGCCAGGGAGAACATTAACTTCGCTCTACTTTTCTAGCATGATCCAGAGAGTCCAAGTCTTCAACTGTTCAGGAAATACATTTCTACTGAATCAAGCTGCATCTGTAAAGAAGTTAACTCTGAAGAGGATATTTAACACACACGTTTTACTGTAGCAGTTCCGCAACCCATCTATCCACATTAAGTATCCTGGAGTTTTACCGTAAAATGATTCAGTGCCTAGTTTTAAAGCTGAAGATTTTTTTAAAAGCTTTATTGATGTTTCCAATTGGGAAGATTATACTGAGGCATCTGCCAAATTTCAGATGAATGTTTGCTTTGCCTAACCTGAAGCTTTGATTACAATTCAGCAGCTCATTGCCATGTTTACAGCCACTGTCTCTTAAGAGAGTTAAACTAAATTAAGTGGCAATATAGGCCAAACAACCAGGCTCAACAGTAATGGATCATTTCGAGAAACATGCTCAAGTAGACACTTATTTGTACCCCTATGAAGAGGATTAATGGCAATGCAAAGAGAGCACACTAATGTTTTGACATTACTTTCTCTTGATTAGTCTCAAACTCACCAAACAAGTTAACAGAAGGCATTCCAGAATGCCTCTCTCTACCAAAATGAAAGGTTCAAAAGGGACAAACCGTGTATTTGATTCGGAGGGTTTAAGTTGCTAATGCTCAGGTCTGGTCTACAAGTAAGTTAGGTTCACACAGTTATATGCGCAGGGGTTGAAGAATTTGAACCTAAGCACAGTAGCTATGCCAGCCTAATCCAGTGTTGATGCAGTTTGGGAGCATTCTTCTGCCAACCTATGGACCACTGTTCGGGGAGGTAGCATTCCAGCAGTGACAGACAGGTGCTTTTCAATGGGGTATTCTGTGGCTATGCTACAGAGACAGGGTCTCCAAAGACTTTGCTACCACACTGTAGGAAAGCTGGAAAAAGGATGCGACAATGGAAAAAGCCCATCAACTCAATTTTATTTTTTTTTAAACTAGACTAAGATTTCTCTTGCTGGGTTATTGAAGCAATTCCTAACCCATCCCAAGTGTTTACTAGACAAAAAACAAGGTGCTAGAGTGCCATCAAAAGATATTTCAGAATTGGACAGAACTAAGCAACTGAGACTACCATGGCAAAACTATGCAAAACCCCGCATCTGGTGTCTGTGCCCTTTAAGAGTGTTTTGTTTGTTTGGTTTTTTTACACCAGCTTCAGCCCTACATGTTTTTTCCATTTTGCAGTCTCATTACCTGCATTGGCTGAGCAGGCCTTTGTTTGTACAGTTGAATACATCCTTTCCAGGGTCTATTTTTAGATCTCCGCATAACTGAATGCCACAATTCGAGAAAAAGCAGTCAACACTGCTCTGCTAGAAGGAATCAATTTTTTTTTTTTAAAAAGCCATACAGATTGAGTGGATAGTTGTAATTTTCCATTTAACTATAATTCAGCACGAAAGATGTTTAAATTGGTTACGACACCCCAGTTTGAATTTTCCTCAGTATGCCAAAGAACATTTAGTGTTGCAGACTTTGTTGGTTTAAAAAGTCTCATCTTCAAGCCAACTGTGCTTTCAAACCATGGAAACTGTTCAAACGAAAAGCTATATTTTACATTAACCAAGATCACAACAGACATACGTCTCAAAACAAGTCCAAAATCAAGTCACTGCCTGCGCAACAAAAAGTGCAGGACACCAGACGGGAGACTAAAATCTCTTAGAACAGAATCACCTAAAAGAAATCTGCAGAGATTACTTTAATGTATTGTAAGGGGTATAGCTGTAAAGTACTACTAGAATGACAGTATCTTATGGGACTACTTGCTGACTGAGAAAAACTTACAGTCCTAGGGACAAGCACCTGAGGAAGTAAACAGATCCTAGCTGTCTGCTAACTACCCTCCCCTCGCAACAAACAAGTTTCTACCTTTCAGCCAGCAAAACAGAGAGAGGGTCCAATCCCACAGGCTTTCATGAGGCAAAACTCAAAGGCCTGAAAAAAATAGCTAGAAACACAAAAGCCACTCTATGAGGTGCTGCCAGCAAATGTACAAGGTAGGAGGCATCTGTCAAAGTGGGCTCCTACTGCCATACACAGAGCTACATAACTTTGTCTGCTATAGTCTCCATCCACATGGTGTTTAATGCGATGGATCCAGAGTCACAGTTAACTCTGGGTGACCCTAGTTTGCCTGATACAATCTGTAGCACAGCAAAGACACACACAGAGAGACTTGTGTTTGGACACAGTGCTTTAGTCTAGCACAATTTAGGTTGGAAACAACCAAATCCTATAAACACTGTGAGAGCTCAAAAGGATTACAACAAAAGCTGCCTCATTAAAAGAGAGAGCCACTAACGAGAGGGGAGCATCCAGATGAGCAAGCAACACAGCAGCCAAGCGAGTGGCTAGGCAGAAAGGGGATGACGTTGTTGGAAAACCTGTCCTTGGGAGAAGGGACTAACAGAAGTCTGATAAGGTAACAGCAAATCACATGTAAGAGGAGCTAAATTAGATAGAGAAGCTGCTCCTCCCCCACAACTAAATTCTGTTCCAGAGTTCTAAACAATCATTAACTTTCCATCTAAGGAATGGCCTTTTCCTTCATCCCGTATTTTTGTGGCTTGCGGTTCTTACTTGCAGAATACAGGGCCATGCAACTTGTGAAACTCCTAATTTAAGAAAGGCCGCGTACAATTTTGAAGCCCTTGAGTATGTTCACTAGCCAAAATTTAGTAGCAGACTAAATGGATGCCTTGTTAGCATCAAATATTTGACACTAGGGACCAGATCTTCTGCGTGACATAGTTCTGCTGACTTCACTGAGCTACCCTGATTTACGCCAGCTGATCTGACTCCCTTAGTATAGGCTCAAGTCAGTGGATTACTAAGAGATCCAGCTAGCAGATGACATCACAAAAAACGTGGAACATACCGAACAAGTATCCTCTTCAGTAACTGCTGATCACCTTCTGAATAGCCAGGCCAATCCTTCTGTACATCTTTGTACACGGAATCTTTCAGGGTATAAGTGCTGTCCTTGGCACTCAGATTTGCCACCTAAAATAGAAACAAAATTTGTGAAAATCCATTAGGGTTTGGCTTTCACGCTTTTTAGAACAAAATCTGGATGAAAAGCTGCAGCTGATTTAGTGAACCAGTGACAGTCACAGGTGTCAGCAAGCACCGGGATTAATATTGGTTTCCAAAATGCTTCATCCAGCTGTGCCTTCTGTTTTTCACACAGCGGAAGCATAGTATTACAATTTAGTATCTATTACTGTAGCACCTAGGAGCCCGAGCAAGTTTCGTTTATTAAGTACAGATCAAATTATACTGAGATAAAGTACAAAACAATTAAAAATACAACACATGGTCATTCAACACGGACAGTCGTCTGGGGCTGCTCCAACAGGAGCCAAGGGAAACATCTGGAACTAAACCCTGCTTGAACAGACAGACAATTTATCCAGGCTGTCCAACACCCAAGATGAAGCAGTATATCAACCGATATACAAAATTATGGTGACAGCTTTGTTCACAGCTGCCTGAAGACAAAAGTTTGCCACTGGTAGAGAGGAGTAGTGTTTAAAAAAAAATGTAATTGTTTTCTTGGAGGAGCAGGAGAAAGAACACGTCAGAGTCCTCACAATGTGGTTTTATGGCATATACTTGTAGTTAAAATGATCTGCTTATTTTATGGGGAAAAAAGTGGTCCTGCTGACAGTTATTATGAGGAGAGAAAGCAAAACCTAGCATCAATAACTTGTATTCCTCCAGAGCTCAACAAAATCATCTCTTCATCCAACAATCATATTCTGCAACTTCTAACAGCTCATGAGGTTGGAAAGCTTTTTGAAACTTGACGGATCCTACCACTAAGATTTCCTATAGACAGAGGCCATCCGAAGCCTAATAGGGAAACACTGCTGGAGCAAACAAACATGTCACCATGGAAGCAACTTAGGTTTCTCCTCTGGAATTGATCTTTCAACAGTCTGACACAAATTTAAAGTCAACTGCAATTACCTTTTCATCTGAAAAATGCAAGGTTCCTACCAATTTATTAGTAACCTCTACAGCCAAAGATCACACCTTTGTAAGTTCTCTGCATATCTGTAGGGCTTGTTAGAGGACAGCAAGGTACTTTCCAAAGCAAAGTTCCCTTGTGGGATGAAGTATTATGCTCACTTTTGCAGAAAGAGAAACTGAGGCACAGATGTTGCATACCTATGCAAGGTCATGTTTACAATAGGCAAAGTCAGGAAGTCAGTCTCAGATTTCATGGGTTCTTAGTTCCCTGCTCTAAAATAGGCTGCACTCCAGATTTGGATAGGTTTTCAGCTTATCAGTGGATATACTATTTATTGGTTTAAGATCAAACATGTTTTCTAGAACTTAGCCAGTCCAGTAGAAGCAGTTACATTTTAGGTTGTCTTTATGGATTGTAACTCATCTTGACAATACACTATAGGAAATGTGCCACAAGATTGTCCTCGCAAAATGATAAGTTACTCCTCAAAAAAACAGAAAGTGAAGGAGCAAGAAAGAGAACAACTAACCGGAAACACTATGTCACAATCTCACGTCCTCTTGCTTTGTTACTACACAATATAGCTCAATATTTTTACACCACTGTTTATTTGCAAGCAAAAAGTGTAGTCAAGGACTGAACATGGTTTGTTTTGCAGATGAGAGATAAGACACGTAATTATCAGTTTACATGACAAATGTTTTTTCCCTTTCAGTTCTGTCAATGTTCCAAAATCCTGAGCCAAGCAAAAGATGGCTTAAAATGTATGTTCTATTTAAGCCACATGGTAAATCCAATCTGAAGAAAATAAGGGAAACAAAAAGCCAATTTCTGCTTCAGAAGCACTACAAAAATAATTCCCCTCCCTCCCCTTTGCACCAACCATGTACCAGATACTATGGCCAGATCTAAAGCCAACCTTCTGGGTCTAGTAAAGGCATGCAACTCTAGCAATGAAAATAAAATAGCTGGAGACAACATATCTTAAGCTGAATGTGGGGCCAACTTCACAGTGGAAAGGAGATGGGAATGAACACTCCCACTGGCTTCCCTTACTCCTCACAACTGCAAAGAGCACCAGCGCTGACCTAGGCACCCTGAGCGTTTCATTTAGTGGGTCTTTAGTAGACCCACTAAATCAAATGACAAGATCGAGCTCCAGCATGTAGCAACAAGGCCTATATAGACAGGCCCTGCTCAGGCTTTACAATCTATTCTGAAAAAGTTCCCAGGATTTCTTGTCTTTTTTAAGATTGCTTTCCACATCATCAAGTCCTGGGAACACTGCAGCTCCTAGGATTTGCATGCACCATCCCTCAATGGTAACTTTTGAGTAATTAGACTGTACATTTAACTCTAGCACAGATAAAAGAACAAAATGAAATTGACACCTAGACACATTTGAGCATGACGTTCACTCAGCCTGCTGTAGCTTATCTGTGTTTGCTTAGGGATGGGAGCACTGCTGCTGCTGCTGAAGGGATACATTTACAAGCAATTGAAACAAAAAACAGGACTGTGTAGCACTTTAAAGACTAACAAGATGGTTTAATACAGTGGTCCCCAACGCGGTGGCGCCCGCCGGGGCATGTGTGCGCACCCGCCGACAACCTGGGCCCTAGGGCACATGCCGGCACCGGGTGCAAGGGCATCCCAGTCCCCTGGCATGCTCCCGGGCGCCCAGCACATGAGTGGCCAAAATGCAGGACTATGTAGCACTTTAAAGACTAACAAGATGGTTTATTAGGTGATGAGCTTTCGTGGGCCAGACCCACTTCCTCAGATCAAATAGTGGAAGAAAATTGTCACAACCATATATACCAAAGGATACAATTAAAAAAATGAACACATATGAAAAGGACAAATCAAATTTCAGAATTTCTACCACTATTTAAAAACAATAACATTCAGCCAAACCAGCACTATCCTCAACCTCATCATGCTGCTCGCCATTCCACACAGTAGCAACCTGCCAGAGGTGTGAGACTTAGTAGAAGATTTCAGCAGACTGTTTACTGAAGTCAAACAGCAGTAAGACACAGATTAAAAAGCACTCTGCATGGCAGCCAACACTGCAGTAGGTCTAGTGGATTAAAATCCAGATTGAGGACCAGTAATGTCAATGTTAAACCCTAAGTTAGCTAATAACTGGCTGTATGCCTTGGGGCAATCCACTTCACCTCTTTGCCTCTCACTCACCAGCCAGATAGGGGTTAATAATTCTAATACCTAAGAGACAGGGATGTTGTGAGGTTTAATTAAGGTTGATAATGCGTGCTGAAAGTGTACATACTATAAAAGCAATGAAGAGAATTACAAATGGCACAAAATCAGCCAGCACAAAATATCAGAGTATTAAGGCCGGTATTGGCTGAACTGGTGCAGCTAGAATATGAGAAACATGACTAGCAAGAAGTGGCATTATCTTTAAACAACTGAGTTTCTTTAGCAGTAAAGGCATGACTTAGAGAAGCTGAGGGACACAGAGCAGGGAATATGTTTTTCTTTTCAAGGCAAATACTACGTATGTCAATATATAGACATGTTATTGTTTTACATCTTATGAACAGCCATGACCCCTAGGTACAGTAAAACTCCAATAGTCCGGCATCCAATTGTACGGCACTCCCGATAGTCTGGCATCAAAATGGCAAGAGCCGAGTGAGCGAGCTTTGGCAAAAACAAGTCACAACGCAGCAGCAGAATCAAGCAAAACGGGTAAAAAAGGGTTAAAAAATAAAACATTCCAGTATACTGTATCCAGTATGTACAATAAAAAGGGTTAAAACACTTTACATACAGTATATACTGGATACAGAGAGAGAGAGTGGGTGTAGACAGACAGACAGTCCGGCATATTTGATAATCCAGCACCACCTAGGTCCCAAAGGTTCCGGATTATCACAAGTCTACTGTACCATAGTTCAGATCTAGTCAAACTCAAGTGTTCAATGTTTGACACAAAGTTCACTGTTAAACATCCTTCAAACTCAAGTGTTCAATGTTTGACACAAAGCCATAAAAGCAAGTTCACTGTTAAACATCCAGTGTAATGCAGTGCAACTTGAAAGTGTGCAAGTGATCCAAAAGTCTGCTCTCAAAGCTGTCCTAACTTGGTAGGAAATTTAAACAAATGGGTTATAAACCTCTGAAAGGGAAAATGTTGAGGGGCTGCTAATGTGTGTCTAGCAAAGCCAATAACACACACTGAAATCTATCCTTAGTCAGTCAAATCTTACTGGGCATAGCCATTAAAGAAAATTAAATGTATGAATCTCATTAAAGCTGCAGTTTACACAGGGACCAAGACAAAAATCTACCAACATGACGACATCCCCATTTGTCTATGGTTTAGGCAAACGCCTACGTAGGACACAAACCTGCTGCAGGAGGCTGTCCAGCAGATCCTTGTCCTGCTGAGGAAGTCCATCCTTCTGCAGTCGGAGAATTAGTTCAGGTTTCTTGTAAGGCTTTAGTGCTAGTAAGTGCACCACCCTATCTTTGAAGGGTTTCTGAGAAATCGCACTGTTGCCTCTCTTTATTGCACTGGCAAGGTTGACAGGCGTCGGCCGCTTCCTCGAGGGAACCGCATCGGACACTCCTGGGGCAGGCTTACGTACCTGAACCTTCTTGCCTAAAATGAGAGGAAAACGGAGTGAACACGTGGAAATCACTGCACCAAGCCCAGCGTTTTGCCAATGTGCCCATGTACAACATACACTCAAAACGAAGCCCCGACCGACAATAACAGAAGACTCAAATAAGCACATATTCCTATTCCAAAGCAAGTCTAGGAAAAATGTTCTCTGAAAACCTAAGAGGATTCAATCCAAGCTTGTATAGTCTCACCGGAAGTCCAAAGCAGCAGCAGTCACTCATAGGAAAGAGGGCTGTTATTGGCTAAACACTTGAAGCTCAACTCTTCATTCACCAGTCCTCCTTCATAATGTTACAAGGAAAGTCCCACTATTGCAAAGCAAGGCAGCACTACAATACAGAGTGTAAGAGAACTTGTCAACGGGAGGCGCCGCTGCTGCTGATCTCAGCTAAACTGTTTTCCAGCAGATGTTTCTGGTTTTAGAACAATAGGAACTGTATGGATCTGGTTCCATGAGCTCTCCCCCGAGAACAAATACCAGGACATGAATGGGGGCTAACACACGCTAGGCTATTCATCTATCATACTGATGAATATGATGTTTCTATTTAAGTAATAACTTTCAGCCTTCTAAAATGGGTCTGTGTACACTTGAGAACTTGAAGAGAGTTTAATGTTCAGTTCAAATTCCCCAGGATAATATCTCAAAATGGAATTGAGGCACTGTGTTTTTATCTATTTCCTTTTGATTAGGCTGAGTCTGTTTTTCCAGTTACTACTAAACTTTTTTTTTTTGCGCACAAACTGGGAACCTCTTTGAAGTGACGCAGAAGCCAACTGCAACATTTACTGGCACATCAGTCACCCCTTCTAAAAAAACCTGAGTTGTTTCCATGGGGAAAACAAGAGCTTTCCTAATGAAAAGCTGGATTCTATTACTCATCATAAATATGCCTCCGATGAAGAATCCAGTACAGTCTAAAGGAAACAAGATAGTCAATAGTCTTCATATTTTGCACAGTTTTATAGAAGCCATTTAAAAAATTAACAGCCATTTTAGTTCAAGCAAACAGAGTGAACAGATCTGGCATAAATGAAATCCAACTATTTATTCCAGTCATTTTGAAGATTTTATTTTAGCATGGCAATTTTCTCTGCTTATGAAACGTTTTCAACTGAGTCATCTGAAGATGCTGATGACTGTATGCAAATGTTTATTTATTCTACTCAAATTCAGGTTGCATAATTTGTAAGTCGTCATTTCCTGGTTTCCAATTACACACAACTTGATGCTAGTCAATAAGGCTGTTTCATGGGGGGGAAGAGGAGGGGGTGTTGAGTGAAGGCAGAAAGGGAGAGATTGCACAAAGACTGCAAGCGACATACATGCTTGAGGATCCTGCAACTCAGATGTAATGAGCATCTTCTATCAGAACCACGGATCGCTCTTCTTTCCCTCTCTGACTACAAGCCTAACTACTCTGTTCTCAGTGCTCCTCTTTCACCATTTGGCCCCAAACATTATCACACCAAAGTCTCAATTTACAGAGTAAACCCCCCTAACATCTGCATGGCTGTGTCTTCATTTGATCAAAGGAACAGCTCCAATAAGAATTTGAAAATGTAAGTTTCATTATCCTTCCTTGCGAAGACGCTGTTGACTCATGAGCCTGACAACATTATCTCTTCACTAATGGTTTCTCAAATATGAAAAGTTAAACAATTTTCTGTGGTACAGGAAATCAATCAATTTCCTTCCTGATTACCATCTTTCTTTTCAGCTTTGAGCACTTAGCTGATAAAGCTGCAAGTGAGGGTCAATGCTACATTCTGTAACTCACCGTCTGTTCATACACATCCTCTGTGAGCAGACAAGTCAGCAGATCACATGAGCTGGGAGAAGAAAAACCAACTGGCTCAAAAAACAGAGACTGGACCTTTTGGGTTACACTAGTTGTACACATTTAACAGTGGATAGGTCCCTGGGATGAGAGCCCATGGAAACTGACTTCTCACACCAGTTTGGAACCCACTGGTATTCATCCTGACTTCTTCCTTGCCAGTACAGATTCTGCCTTTCAGCTCTATGGTAGAATAGTTCCTTCCACTGCTGCAAACAACACCATTATCTTAATCTCTTTAATGATTAATAAAATTTCAATTAATGAGCTCCTTTTCAGTGCCGATACCACCCAGGTATGCAGAACACCCTGGGTCAGGGAACACAAACTTTTTGTGAAGCAGTACAACTATCTGGACCCTAGTAACAAAAATAAAGACTCTCTCAAAAAGCGATCTATATAAGGCCAATCTTCATCTGCCATTTAGGAACACAATGGTAACTAAATATCTGACCACTAATTAATGAGCTCCTTTTCAGTGCCGATACCACCCAGGTATGCAGAACACCCTGGGTCAGGGAACACAAACTTTTTGTGAAGCAGTACAACTATCTGGACCCTAGTAACAAAAATAAAGACTCTCTCAAAAAGCGATCTATATAAGGCCAATCTTCATCTGCCATTTAGGAACACAATGGTAACTAAATATCTGACCACTAATGTAAGAACGGCCGTACTGGGTCAGACCAAAAGTCCATCTAGCCAATAGCCTGTCTGCCAACAGTGGCCAGCAGCAGGTGCCCCAGAGGTGGTGGACCGAAGACAATGATCAAGTGATTTGTCTCATGCCACCCATCTCCAGCCTCTGACAAACAGAGGCCAGGGATACCATTCCTACCTCCTGGCTAATAGCCTTTTATGGACCAAACCTCCATGAATTTATCTAGCTTCTCTTTAAATTCTGTTACAGTTTTAGCCTCCACAGTCTCCTCTGGCAAGGAGTTCCACGGGTTGACTATGCGCTGTGTGAAGAACTTTCGCTTATTAGTTTAAAACCTGCTAAATTAGCTGTACTATTTTCAGCATCTTTACTCTAGAAAAGTTACCAGACCCGCAGACACTACCAGATACAGACTGAACCTCTCTAGTCTGGCACACTGGTCCAGCAACATCTGTGGCCCAGCGTGATTTGAGTTGGCCACACACATAAGTGGACATCTGACTAAGTTTCCCGCAGTCCCATGCAGTTTTACAGCCACCAGTCCTGGCTTTCAGGGTTCTGCGCTGTTACTTAGCTCTAATTTACCCCTAAAGAATATCTTCTCAGAGCCCAGTAAGCATGTTGGTAATGCTGCTAGAGAATCATAACCTCCTGTGGTCCGGCCCCATGGGTGCCAGACTAGAGAGGCTCAACCTGTACTGCTTAAAAATAAAGATTTGTGAAGATGTAAAGTTTGGCCAGCAAGTCACTTACAGTCAAGCCATGAATAGCCCAGACACTCACATGTATAACAAATGGGAACCAGGTTCAGTTCCCACAATCAAGTTGCTTCTTACCTACATATCTACCACCAGGTTTAATAACTATTGCGCTTCGGCTGCGAGTTTCCTCCTCAGCTTGTGCCATGCTCTGCCTTGCCTTCTGGTAGGAGTCATCAGTAGCGCACACAGTGATTTTATCCTGTATGCTTCCAAGACAGTCCAGCTGGATATTACCACTGCTGTACAAAATAAAGGATATAATCAGATATTCCTAGGATTAACATCCATTTCGCTGTTGGCTAGTCAGTGAAGCATAGCGAGACCTGAAATTACCTGAAAGCAGCTATGCACATCATGGGCTTTTGGTAAATGTCAGTTTCTTACACAAGCCATACTGATATTTTTCTGTACATGCGGCCGGGAGGGAGGGGGGAAAATCCCCTGCTAGCAAGCTGGTCAGTTTATTATTTCAGATTCCTGCCAGCAAGTTATTGCAGAAATAATTACACTCATATGGGCATGCAACTCAGTCCTTTACAAATATGAATGAAGCCCAATACCGTTGTAAGGGGACATCTTCATTTGCAACGCAGTGAAGTTGAGGCTTAATGGTTCAAGTGACTTGTGCAAAGTCACACAGGAAATCCGGGGGAGAGCCAGGAATAGAACCCAGATCCGTCAGCTCCAAGTCCTAGGCCTTAACCACAAGACAACCCTTCCTCCCCAGTGCACTTCTGCAAAATGGGTGCAAGAGACAAACTTGCTGCTCTCCAGCAGCCACTGAGCAACAAGTGGTTACTGACGGAGCTGAACCCTGCCTGCTCGGTACAAATGGAAGGGTCTTTGCTGCAAGTACCTTAGGACCAGTAGGTGCTTGATCTTTCCAAGACACTGGAGAATTAAGAATCTTTTCCTGTGTTCATCCCTTTGTCATTGGCAAAGCATCAGTGAAATCGCTCACTGCAGCTTTCTAATTATAAGAAAGGTAGGAAATTGGCACAGAGCAAGACCATAGCCCAGATGTGAAAACCTTCCTGCAAAGCATTAACGTAAGAGTTTCCAGGGTCTCACTGACAGACCCATTTATCTGTGACTTCATTCCCAGTCATGTTTTTCCAAGGCTGTGTACACTGTAATGCAAAGGCTTTCTCCATCACAATGCATCCTCCCCAACTCAATGCTACACTAACAGCAGAGTTCTCCTTGATCCACCCTATGGGCGATGTGGAGAGAAGGAAGCATGTGCTGTTAATCACCTCTTATAAGAGATTTTAGACAGTGCAATTAGTCTGTTTGCGCCCCAAGTGGGGCTGTGGCTGAGTTTGGTCAGAAGTTTTTCCCAAACTAAAGTAGCAATTCACACTTGGCCTTGAAGGCTGGAATTTTCAAAAGCACTTATTATTTTACTTAGTCTATGTCTACACTGGGAAGGTTTGGGGACAAAAGTGCCTTCGGCATGCAAGAGTCACCAAAAAAAAAGTCAAACCAGTTTTTCTGCCTCCCATTGTCAACATTTCATGGCCACATTGCTAGCATCCTATGGACAGAGAGCAAAGCATTGTGGGTGAGCATCCCACAGAGCAGCGTTAGGAGGAAGGCAGAGCTGATCCCTGCACTTCCTGGGATCATCTCTCTATGAGCTCTCCGTGCTGAGGAACATCAGAGCAGCACAGCTGTCTCTCCAGCCCTCCTGTTGCAGCAGCAGCCTGCCCGCCTGCCTCTGTGTTCTTAGTGCAGAACAGAACAGAAGCATTCCAATGATTTGTTCTTTGTTCTCCCCACCGTGCAGCTCACTTAGCTGTCAGATACTTCTGGAAGCTTTGAAAGGGGAAGGAGGCACGCCTGCAGGGCAACAGAGATCAACACACTGAGCACAGCCACCAGGGCAGGCACTGTGGGATAGGGATGTTAAATAGTGATTAGTAAGCTAATCAAGTACTACTCAATTAGTCAATAAGGGGGTTTGCGGCCAGGCTCTTACTACATTTAAAAAGCAGAGCCACAGTGGTCTGGGGCCTCGCGCGAGCCAGGACTGCTCAGTCCTGGCTCGCACCAGGCGCGCGGCCCCTCTGCCTCCCCCCCACGGAGATGGTGCTGGGGGGCAGGGAGGAGGGGAATGGCTTTTAAGACCGCTCCCTCCCCCAGCACCGGCTCCTGCTCCTCTGCCTTACTGCCTCTGATACAGAGGCAGTGAGGAGAGGCAACCAGTTGAGTAGTGACTCAACTACCCAACAAGCCTAGGCTTGTCAGTGTAGCATGGCAGTTTAGACAGGGCCTAACTTGGATGTCTCTGAGGTCAATGGGTTTTTCCGATTAACTTGGGCTCTTGTGAAATCCCATTTGAAAGCTTTAGAAGAAAACTTTCACCATACATAAGCACCATCTATCACTGGGGCAAAACAGTGGTATCCGTAAGGTTTGGAGTTTGAACTGAATGTAAAGAAAGGATTATTAACAGTCTCTTTTGGAGTGCAGATGGGGCTACGATTACTTCATGGCATCACATCAACTCCAAGACTACAGACTGATATAGTAAAATGACCGACCTTCCCTAAAAATTTCTCTGCCCCACTACAGTTTAACTCCATCGATGGTAGTTAAACAGGAGAATGTGTGCGCACAGGCTACCTGCATTTTAGTCACAAAGTTTTCTAGATCTGCTGGTATAAGTGGGGTTAATCAACATGCAGGTTTAAACTTTGGTGACCAGTCGATGTTAGCACCTCCACCATGGCTAGAACTGAATTAAGGAAAAAGTTTCACACACAAGAGAGACTTTTAAAACAAAAGAATGTGGAATGCGACGAGGACCGGAGCAGAAAAAAAAAAAATCAGAGTGGCTGAGACAGTCATTTTTCTGTGTATGATCCCTAGGTACACAGTATCCCACTAAGGGAAAGCCTCCTCAAAAAACCCCACAAAACTTAAAGGAACATTTACATTTCACTTCTGTTCAAAATGTAAGTAAAAACTCTCATTCTTGGCAACAGTTCCCCCTCCCCGCCCTTCTGATGTACCACTCACCTGGATACATACTGCTGTATACAGTCAAAACTCCCCTGCGGGCTGTCCTTGCCGATATTTGAAAGATAAAACGTGAATGTTCGCAATTGCGCTGAACAATCAGGTCTGGGAATTGTGATGTGCTGTTGGGGGGAATAAAAAAAAGTGTGGATCATTGGGAAATCTGCTCTAACAAGACATTCAGATCACCTACACCTGGTCTACACTGGGAGTTAAGGTCAACCTTCACAGCATTGGGTCGATTTTCTAAACACCACCAACTCCGTTACGTCAACTTTAAGGGCCGTTCCAGTTGATTTCTCAACTCCTGCTTTCACAAGAAGTAACGCTAATTTGACCTTGCATGTCAACTTTATGATAGTGCAGATGCAATGCTGTGAAAGTAGACATTCTTGGCCTCAGGGAGGTGTCCCGCAGGGTCCACTCTGGCCAGGACTTTCAATTCTACTGCTCTGCAAGTGCCATGCAGACTTCACAGCAGGCAGCACCCCTGACAGTCAGTTCCATGAGTTCCCAGGGTCACAGACTAGCTCCAACATGGAGCATGCAGGAGATCCTTAACCTCATAGTTGTGTGGGGAAGAGGAATCTGTTCTCCTAGAACTACACACCAGCAAAAGAGAGACATATCTATGCTTCGATTGCAGCATGGCGGAGAAATAATACTCCAAGAATGCCCAGCAATATCCCGCAGGGTCCACTCTGGCCAGGACTTTCAATTCTACTGCTCTGCAAGTGCCATGCAGACTTCACAGCAGGCAGCACCCCTGACAGTCAGTTCCATGAGTTCCCAGGGTCACAGACTAGCTCCAACATGGAGCATGCAGGAGATCCTTAACCTCATAGTTGTGTGGGGAAGAGGAATCTGTTCTCCTAGAACTACACACCAGCAAAAGAGAGACATATCTATGCTTCGATTGCAGCATGGCGGAGAAATAATACTCCAAGAATGCCCAGCAATACCACACGAAAATTAAAGCAGATGAGGCAGTCATACAAAGAGACAAAGGAGGTTTGGATCATTGCCGCAAACATGGCATGTCTAGGAGCAGCTGCATGCGAACACTGGATGATCCAGCATTAGGTGCATCATGGTTAACATCATAATCATAGTACTTTTATGCTCAATGGGATCCACTATGGGGTCCATGCTTACACAATACTATGGCATCTGCACAGATAACCAAGGGGGGGGGAGGAGAGAGGAGGGAAGAGCACACAATACTATGGCATCTGCACAGACATCCAAGAGAGGGAGGGGAGAGGAGGGAAGAGCACAAAAAGACCATTTGCTGTTGCTCTCAAGAAAGGGTGGGGTGGGAGGAACCAAGTGCATAATGGGATGCTGACAATACGTAGCCAGAATCAGCCACTGCACAGTTTTGGTCCCAGCATGCACTAGGAGCATAACCCATAATGCAGAGGGGCATAGGCACTGGGGGATAGCTACCCATGGTGAATCATTTTCAAAATGAACCACAGCCACCCTGCTAGGGATGTGCCATTTCAAATACACTGAATTCTCGTACATAGTTGGGATACACGTTCAACTTTACAAAATGGGGTGCTTAAAAAAAAAAATCGACCTTCATAAATTCAAGCTTCTCTCAGAGTAGACATGGCCTATGTTCTGTATTTCTCTTTAGCTGCTTTCAACAATTAACAGAAGTTACATTTGTGAACAACAGCACATAATACCAGAATAATGTTAACTAAAAGGAGTTGTAGTTTCATTTGGTTCACCAACTTTAACAGTTGCATCTGTCTTCCCTTCTCCATCCTAACTCGACGCCATTTTTTAGTTGTATATTTCCTCCAGTGATCCCGTACCTGAAAGCGGCAGTCTGGCCTTGCTCACAGAACAGTAAGACACATGTGAGATTTAGAAATAGCAATAGAATGAGGGAAAAGAACACTATGAATTTTCTTCAGAAAATTCAATGTAAGACAATAGTGGTCTTATAAGGCAATGGGCAAGCGACCAAGGAGCTTGAGAACAGGTGAGTGCTAACAGGGAGTTTGGAAGGGGAGTGGGAAGGGCGTGAGGTTCTCTTGCCTTTCTTTCTTTTTAAATCCCTTTTCCAGGACAACAGCGATGGATGGTGATAAGTCTGCTGTTGTTACCTGCATGGAGTGTGCCATGTTTGTCTTCCTCCCAGAAGAAAGAACGGATTTCATTTGCACTAAGTGCAAGCTGGTCACCATTTTGGAAGAAAAAAATTAGAGGACTGGAGGCCCAAGTGTCGACTCTACACTCGATCAGAGAGGATGAAGACTTCCTTGATAGAAGGCAACGTTTAATCCTTCAAGCACGGCAGGCAGAAGAGCCAGAGACGGCAGTACGGGACCAGGAAGAGAACTGGCAGCATGTAAATTCTAGAAGGGGAAAAAGGCCAGCACGGGAATCCCCCAATGCTACAGAGGTAAGTAATCGCTTTCAGGCTCTCTCCACAGGCTCTGCAGTGCTGAATGCTTTGGAAGGGATAGAAGGCAACGTTTAATCCTTCAAGCACGGCAGGCAGAAGAGCCAGAGACGGCAGTACGGGACCAGGAAGAGAACTGGCAGCATGTAAATTCTAGAAGGGGAAAAAGGCCAGCACGGGAATCCCCCAATGCTACAGAGGTAAGTAATCGCTTTCAGGCTCTCTCCACAGGCTCTGCAGTGCTGAATGCTTTGGAAGGGACCTCACAAGGAAGAAATTGGAAGGGAACACCATCTACTGGAAGGCATGGGATGCGTAGTCCTAGGGATGGGGGGCCACCACCCCCAAAAGAAAATGACAGGTGTGCGCACAGGCTACCTGCATTTTAGTCACAAAGTTTTCTAGATCTGCTGGTATAAGTGGGGTTAATCAACATGCAGGTTTAAACTTTGGTGACCAGTCGATGTTAGCACCTCCACCATGGCTAGAACTGAATTAAGGAAAAAGTTTCACACACACAAGAGAGACTTTTAAAACAAAAGAATGTGGAATGCGACGAGGACCGGAGCAGAAAAAAAAAAAATCAGAGTGGCTGAGACAGTCATTTTTCTGTGTATGATCCCTAGGTACACAGTATCCCACTAAGGGAAAGCCTCCTCAAAAAACCCCACAAAACTTAAAGGAACATTTACATTTCACTTCTGTTCAAAATGTAAGTAAAAACTCTCATTCTTGGCAACAGTTCCCCCTCCCCGCCCTTCTGATGTACCACTCACCTGGATACATACTGCTGTATACAGTCAAAACTCCCCTGCGGGCTGTCCTTGCCGATATTTGAAAGATAAAACGTGAATGTTCGCAATTGCGCTGAACAATCAGGTCTGGGAATTGTGATGTGCTGTTGGGGGGAATAAAAAAAAGTGTGGATCATTGGGAAATCTGCTCTAACAAGACATTCAGATCACCTACACCTGGTCTACACTGGGAGTTAAGGTCAACCTTCACAGCATTGGGTCGATTTTCTAAACACCACCAACTCCGTTACGTCAACTTTAAGGGCCGTTCCAGTTGATTTCTCACGAAATCCACACGAAAATTAAAGCAGATGAGGCAGTCATACAAAGAGACAAAGGAGGTTTGGATCATTGCCGCAAACATGGCATGTCTAGGAGCAGCTGCATGCGAACACTGGATGATCCAGCATTAGGTGCATCATGGTTAACATCATAATCATAGTACTTTTATGCTCAATGGGATCCACTATGGGGTCCATGCTTACACAATACTATGGCATCTGCACAGATAACCAAGAGAGGGAGGGGAGAGGAGGGAAGAGCACAAAGACCATTTGCTGTTGCTCTCAAGCAAGGGTGGGGTGGGAGGAACCAAGTGCATAATGGGATGCTGACAATACGTAGCCAGAATCAGCCACTGCACAGTTTTGGTCCCAGCATGCACTAGGAGCATAACCCATAATGCAGAGGGGCATAGGCACTGGGGGATAGCTACCCATGGTGAATCATTTTCAAAATGAACCACAGCCACCCTGCTAGGGATGTGCCATTTCAAATACACTGAATTCTCGTACATAGTTGGGATACACGTTCAACTTTACAAAATGGGGTGCTTAAAAAAAAAAATCGACCTTCATAAATTCAAGCTTCTCTCAGAGTAGACATGGCCTATGTTCTGTATTTCTCTTTAGCTGCTTTCAACAATTAACAGAAGTTACATTTGTGAACAACAGCACATAATACCAGAATAATGTTAACTAAAAGGAGTTGTAGTTTCATTTGGTTCACCAACTTTAACAGTTGCATCTGTCTTCCCTTCTCCATCCTAACTCGACGCCATTTTTTAGTTGTATATTTCCTCCAGTGATCCCATACCTGAAAGCGGCAGTCTGGCTTTGCTCACAGAACAGTAAGACACATGTGAGATTTAGAAATAGCAATAGAATGAGGGAAAAGAACACTATGAATTTTCTTCAGAAAATTCAATGTAAGACAATAGTGGTCTTATACCTGTCAGTAGGTTTACCGATTCTAGACTACCCTGCATAATTATGTCAGCTGGGATGTGATGTTTTGCCAATATAGCTATGCTGATAAAAAACCTTAGGGTAGATGCTGTTATCTGGATACAGACTTCCTTATGAAAATATAAACTTACGTCTGTCAGGAAGCCAGCTGTAAGTTACACCTCTGATTCAAGTGTAACTGCCTCTACGCTAGGAAGGTTTGGTCAGTTTAGTCAGAGAGGTACCATTAAAATCAGCAAAAGCTTCCTAGCTTAGACTAGATTTTAATGATAGAGGTTTTCTAGAGGTTGGATGGCTTAGCAGCTCAGGAAAACGTCATGTATCAGTTCAATCTAGATTAAAGGCTACACCACCATTGGAAATATTTCTTCCAGACAGCAGAAAGCTAAGCTGGAAGAACTGGTGATGGTTTCAGAGCTTTTTAGTAGGAGGCGGCGGCGGCGCTCCTCTTACCCCTCAAAAATTCCTACAGTTATGATCACTTGTGCTGTTCTACCTGTGAGAGCAACATGGGTGCTCTACTGTGGACCACGCTGGTTAGCCTTCACAGAGCAGGCTTAGACCATCAGCTGGTAAGAATGCTGGTGAACACCTGTGCTCTGTTGAAGATAGTGCCACTGCTGCTGCAGGAGCTGCACTGTTACTGTGCCACATACAGGAACTTTTGGGGATTTTTTTAAGTGAGTGCTCTAGTGTAGCTAAGGCTAAAACATGCTGCTGCATGTCAAGCAACAGACAGCTCCTTGGACTCCATTTAACCCCCCCAAGCTCTAACGCATCTGGCTGCAGGCTCAAGATTCACCAGCTCAAACTTTTCTTCTCATCTTCTGCTCTGCCAACGCCAGGCGCTCAAGGATCATGAGTCAGATCCCCACACCCCCCAAAAAAATGAAGGATGCTTCAAAAACGCATGACACAAAACATGTGGGATCCTTTTTATTTGCTTTCTGGCTTTCAAGTGCATTAGTGTTATATTTTCAAGTTACTATGGAACCATAAGATCTAGAAGCATGCATTAGTGTTATATTTTCAAGTTACTACGGAACCATAAGGTCTAGAAGCATTTTTTTTTTACACTAAACAAAAGCTGAGATTCTCACATAATCACTTGATTCCAGGAGCCAGAGATTTAAGATACCAGGTATTTGAGAACTCGCAATGAAGTTGCTAAAGCCAGCATAGCCAGTTTCTGCAACACTCAGTACAGCTGGGAGAACACAGGACCTTGCTCCAGAGTTCTCCCAAGGGTCACCCTCCTTCCAGCATGTAGTGCTAGGAAAAGTGAAAGATAGGGAGATGAGAGCCACAGGATACAATAAAAGTTGCAATACATATGGCTCAAAAGAAAAACAGGACCAAGGCAGAAAATGGAGAAAGAGGAAATAGGCCAAAACACCTCCAAAAAGCAGAATGTGTATGAAGGCCTGGGTGGGGAGTGAAAGCTATCTCCCCCAATCACAAGGGGAGGATAGGGTCTTCATTGAAAAGAAGAAACACAGCAGTGATGTTGTGGTTGGTGTCTGCTACAAGCCACCGAATCAGGTGGATGAGATAGATGAGGTTTTCTTCAGACAACTGAGAGAAGCTTCCGGATCGCAGGCCCTGGTTCTCATGGGGGACTTTAATCACCCTGACATCTATTGGGAAACCCAATACGGCAGTACACAGGCAATCCAGGAAGTTTTTGGAGAATGTTGGGGATAACTTCTTGGCACAAGTGTTGAAGGATCGGACCAGGGGCCGTGCGGAGCTTGACCTTCTGCTCACAAACAAGGAGGAACTAATAGGGGAAGTAGAGGTGGGTGACAACCTGGGATTGCACCCTCAGCAAGTTTGCGGATGACACTAAGCTAGGGGGAGAGGTAGATACCCTGGAGGGCAGAGATAGGGTCCAGAGTGACTTAGACAAATTGGAGGATTGGGCCACAAGAAATCTGATGAAGTTCAACAAGGACAAGTGCAGAGTCCTGCACTTGGGACGGAAGAATCCCAAGCATGGTTACAGGCTGAGGACCAACCACTTAAGTAGTAGTTCTGCAGAAAAGGACCTGGGGGTTACAATGGATGAGAAGCTGGATGAGAGTCAACAGGGTGCCCTTGTAGCCAAGAAGGCTAATGGCATATTAGGTTGCATTAAGAGGAGCATTGCCAGCAGATCCAGAGATGTCATTATTCCCCTTTATTCGGCTTTGGTGAGGCCACATCTGGAGTATTGTGTCTAGTTCTGGGCCCCCCACTACAAAAAGGATGTGGGCGCATTGGAGAGGGTCCAACGGAGGGCAACCAAAATGATTAGGGGGCTGGAACATATGACTTATGAGGAGAGGCTGAGGGACTTGGGTCTGTTCAGTCTGCAGAAGCGAAGAGTGAGGGGGGATTTGTTAGCAGCCTTCAACTTCCTGAAGAGAGGTTCCAAAGAGGATGGAGAGAGGCTGGTCTCAGTAGTGACAGACGGCAGAACAAGGAGCAATGGTCTCAAGTTGTGGTGGGAGAGGTCCAGGGTGGATATTAGGAAAAACTATTTCACTAGGAGAGTGGTGAAGCACTGGAATGGGTTACCTAGGGAAGTAGTGGAGTCTCCATCCCTAGAGGTGTTTAAGTCTTGGCTTGACAAAGCCCTGGCCGGGTTTAGTTGGGATTGGTCCTGCCTAGAGCAGGGGGCTGGCCTTGATGACCTTGCGAGGTCTCTTCCAGCTCTATGGTTCTATGATTTTTAAATTCGGGTTTACCATGGCAAGAGGGAATCTAAAGCACATAGGGAAGGTTTTTTTAAGAGGTATGCTTCCAGTGTATTTTATCCTGTCAGTAGGTTTACCGATTCTAGACTACCCTGCATAATTATGTCAGCTGGGATGTGATGTTTTGCCAATATAGCTATGCTGATAAAAAACCTTAGGGTAGATGCTGTTATCTGGATACAGACTTCCTTATGAAAATATAAACTTACGTCTGTCAGGAAGCCAGCTGTAAGTTACACCTCTGATTCAAGTGTAACTGCCTCTATGCTAGGAAGGTTTGGTCAGTTTAGTCAGAGAGGTACCATTAAAATCAGCAAAAGCTTCCTAGCTTAGACTAGATTTTAATGATAGAGGTTTTCTAGAGGTTGGATGGCTTAGCAGCTCAGGAAAACGTCATGTATCAGTTCAATCTAGATTAAAGGCTACACCACCATTGGAAATATTTCTTCCAGACAGCAGAAAGCTAAGCTGGAAGAACTGGTGATGGTTTCAGAGCTTTTTAGTAGGAGGCGGCGGCGGCGCTCCTCTTACCCCTCAAAATTTCCTACAGTTATGATCACTTGTGCTGTTCTACCTGTGAGAGCAACATGGGTGCTCTACTGTGGACCACGCTGGTTAGCCTTCACAGAGCAGGCTTAGACCATCAGCTGGTAAGAATGCTGGTGAACACCTGTGCTCTGTTGAAGATAGTGCCACTGCTGCTGCAGGAGCTGCACTGTTACTGTGCCACATACAGGAACTTTTGGGGATTTTTTTAAGTGAGTGCTCTAGTGTAGCTAAGGCTAAAACATGCTGCTGCATGTCAAGCAACAGACAGCTCCTTGGACTCCATTTAACCCCCCCAAGCTCTAACGCATCTGGCTGCAGGCTCAAGATTCACCAGCTCAAACTTTTCTTCTCATCTTCTGCTCTGCCAACGCCAGGCGCTCAAGGATCATGAGTCAGATCCCCACACCCCCCAAAAAAATGAAGGATGCTTCAAAAACGCATGACACAAAACATGTGGGATCCTTTTTATTTGCTTTCTGGCTTTCAAGTGCATTAGTGTTATATTTTCAAGTTACTACGGAACCATAAGGTCTAGAAGCATTTTTTTTTTACACTAAACAAAAGCTGAGA